CAATCCTACTTCCGTAGTGATACTGCCTCGGAAACCCAAGGAGGGGTCGCTATGAGTCGGGGCCGACTCGACGGCAAATAACAACAACAACAACAACTTGCAGCAGATTTATTGAATGAATGAATCACTCTATTGACACTTTATGATGTGGTCAAGAACAAAGCGCTAATAATGGAACTTTGACATCCAGTTTCCCATCTAGTTCTGAAAACACGAATTGGGACCTTGCGCTGCTCTCTGGTTCCATCTGGCGGCATGTGCGCAAACTGTGTTGAGCTTTCGCTCTTTTCCCAACGCCATCCCAAGTTTACTCGGAACTTTTTGACATGGTTCTTACCGAGTGCGCATCGGACCAAAAGCAATAACACAAACTCCGGAAGAATTTACAAACAGAGCAGGAAATCTTAGTGCCCTGAGAAGTATCAGTAACCAATAGATGGAAAGATCTAGTTCACGAGGTGCATATTCAGCCTATCGTAGTCATAAACTTTACCAACCCACTTCCTTCCTCTCTTAGCTCCTTCTCTTTCCCCAAGATGGCCACGCCGTCTCCACCGGTGAGTGTTCCTCCCGCAACTCCAGCTGCAGCACCCGCTGCTACTCCGGCTCCGGCTCCGGCCCCGGCCCCGGCCCCGGCCCCGGCCCCGGCTCCAGCTCCGGCTCAGACGCCAGCCCCGGCTCAGGCTCAGGCTCCAACTCCTGCCTCATCCTCAGACCCGACCGCCGCAGCGGCTACGACCGCGGCCTCGGGGCAGAACCCGGCCTCAGTGCAAGCGTCGGCGCAGACCCCGGCGCCACTGCCGCCTGGTCCGGCTCTTCCAGGGCCCTTCCCTGGCGGCCGTGTGGTCCGGCTGCACCCGGTCATTTTAGCTTCCATTGTGGACAGCTATGAGCGACGCAATGAGGGCGCTGCCCGAGTGATCGGGACCTTGTTGGGTGAGTGGTGAGAGGAAACTAATATTCTCTTTCTCCTCCCTCCCACCTCCCATTTATTACTCCTGTTTCTCGTTACCCTTTCATTTCTGGCGTCTTGCCTGTTTTTCTTTCCGCCACCACCTTGCTTGCTTGTCTCTCCATCCCTTCTGTTTCTCTTCTCTTTGCGAGTATGCTGTCACTTTGGGTAACATAAAACATATGAGTAGTTATTATCGAATAAATAATTATGTCCGAGTAATACGCATTTTATTCCTAGCATTTCACCTTAAGTATTATTAGCCCCAGTCTACCAAAAATGAGCTCAAATGCCAACCGGCAAGTGACTGAGTTTTAGCTGGAATTCTTAATCTTAAGCCCAGTGACTACGTTTCCTTTCCTTATCCGTGAATGTCCCTATTTTCCAGATGCTTACAAAGAACTTTCTAACTAGTTGGCAAGGGAGTGGGGGCATCTGTAAAAAGATAACTCTCCCAACAATTAAACCAGTTTGGCTGGAGCCCATTTAAGGTTTTTGACTGCTAACCAGAAGGCTGGTGGTTCAAACCCACCAGCCACTCCTCGGAATGAAGACGGGGCAATCTACTTCCGTAGAGATACTGCCTCAGAAACCCAAGGAGGAGTTGCTATGAGTCGGATCTGACTCCAGAGCAGTGAGTTTGGTTGGTTGGTTGGTTTTTTGGAAACCTCTAAGCGTGATGCTTTGTCCCTACGTTTCCTTTAATAGTGCTTCTGATGTGGTGTTTTCCCAGTGTTGTCTCTGTTACATTTGGACAAAAACAATGCCATTCATCTGCTTATGATTCTATTTAACCATCAAATCATAGTTTTTTCTCTGCCCCTGTTCTTAGTTTGGATAATAGATATTTTATGTTAAAGTCATTATAAAAACTTAAAAACAACGAAGATGTATTGTTAATAATGAACCCCGTTCTCGAAACTGCTTGCCCCACAGATTCGTTTCCATTTCATTTTATCACAGGTTTTTGACATCTTTGAGGACCCATTCCAGTCCTCATGCATCATTTCTCTTTCTTACTCTTGAACATATAACAGTCCGTACACCTTAGAAGACAATGTAGTGCAAAAAGGATGAGATTTGTAGGTAAATTCCACCAGATATTAGCTATGTGCTACTTTAGACATAGTCTTTGTGAGAACAAAATTAATACAAAAGGCATGTAACTGTTCAACTTTATCAAGTTAGGCCTAAAGCTCTTGCCACTAAGTCCTTTCCTACTCATAGCAACCTAATAGGACAGAGAACCGCCCCATGGGGTTTCCAAGGCTGTGGAAGCAGACTGCCCTACCTCTCCCCTGGAGTGGCTGGTGGGTTCTGACCACCCACTACACCACCCTAAACAAACACACATACATTCTTCTATCTTTGTGGGTGTAGCACATGGTATTTACAGAAACTAAATTGATCCATTGTCTCCCAAACAGCCATGGCTTTTCTCAGACCAAGGCTTTATATTCTCCTTGCCACAAAAGTCATCCCTGCTGTGCCTCATTGTTTTTTAAAGTTCCACACATTTGCCAGGTTCCTTTCCTTCATCCTATACCCCCATCCTCACCCCATTCTTAACCTCTCTAAGCATGAGAGCATTCTGTCACTGCCCTGCTTTAAGCTGCTGTAACAAATAATTTTTACATCACTGACTTGGTACTCAACAAACACTAATTTACTCCTTACTTTGTAATCTACACTGGCAAGGTTTCTGAACTCAGTGGAAAAATGTAACTAAAGGAACAATTCTTCACCCAAGGTTTATGCTTCTAAACCAAACCAAACTCATTGCTGTCGAGTCGGATCCGACTCATAGCGACCTCTCCTTGGGTTTCCAAGGCCGTATCACTACGGAAGTAGATTGGCCAACCTTCCTTCCGAGGAGTGGCTGGTGGGTTTGAATCGCCAGCCTTCTGGTTAGCAGTCAAGTGCCTTAGGCATTACTTAGTGTCCCAAATATTACAGTGAGCCTCTGGAAGAAGATGGAGATCATAGTACAGTGCTGGGTGTAAATGGGCAGTGCTTATGAAGTGTAGATTCTGCGTACTAGGAACTTAAAATTTTCTCAGGTACACATTAACTCAAGAAACATACTTCATTTGGTTAAATGAAGTCACTAATGCCTTTTTATGTACCAGAAACGGGTTGTTGTTGTTGTTTTTTTTAATTAACTCACTGCCATCGAGTCACATCTGACTCATAGCGACCCCCTCCTTGGGTTTCCAAGGTGTTATCACTATGGAAGTAGATTGCCCAACCTTCCTTCTGAGGAGTGGCTGGTGGGTTTGAACTGCCAGCCTTCTGGTTAGCAGTCAGATGCCTTAGGCACTGCACCATCAGAGCTTAGAATTAAGTTTGAAAAAAATGACCTCTACTCTAACCTTAAACTCAAGATGGAGAAATACACAGATAATTTTTTTCATGTAAAAAATATTGAATTGGCAAATGTTTTATTATATATGTCTATGCCACAGTAAAAAAATATGTATACAGCCAAACACCATAGGATTTGGTTCCTTGGTTTGGATTTTCAGGGTCATAGTTTCATGGGATATGCCTGTTAATTGACCTAATATGTGTTTAGTGCTTGTGTTCTGTCTCCTAGTTCATTGCATACTGCCTGGGTCTTAAAAGTTTGCAAGCGGCCATCAAGGCACAACAGTTGGTCTCCATTCACTTGAAACAACAGAAGAAAAAGGAGACAGTTAGGATTAAGAGGAGGATATGGAATGTGTGGCTAAATGCCTCCATGAATAACTACCTCCATTGCCATGAGACTAGAAGAACTAGATGGTGCCTGGCTATCATTACTGAACATTTTGAGCAAAGATTCCATAGCATACTCCTAATCAAACTAGGGCGGGAAGGGATTCAGAACAGAATTTAAATTCTTATATGCTCCAGACTTTCTGGAGCCATGGATGGTGGGTGAACCCCTAAAACTATTACCCTGAGTTATCTTTAAATCTTAAACCAAAAATATGCTGTGAAGTCTTCTTAAAACCAAATATAGTTTAGCTTAACTAGTTTAAAAAAAAAAAAAGTCTGCCTCGAACATTACGCTTTTTAAGGATAGTCTAAATGGGATCAAATTGACAACAGCAACTCAAAAGATTAGGAGGCAATTAGTTTATGTTGATGAGGGTGAACAACTCAGAAAAGAAGAGGAAGAATGGTTCTACTTGAACTTTAAGAATGGAATCAATGTTACTAAAGTTGTCCATCTCGGCAGGGAAATTGGGCAATCTACTTTCATAGTGATACTGCCTTAGGAACCCAAGGAGGGGTCGCTGTGGGTCGAGTCTAACTCGATGGCACATAACCACAGCAACAACAAAGTTGTACATACAGAAACTATTGAATTGGTGTATGCTTTGTTATGTATATTCCCAACAACAGCAATGAAATAAAATTTAGGTAGAGGAAAAAAAAATATGTGTGTGTGTGTATGTATCAAGGTCAGGAGTAGGGCTGGTAGTGAAACATAACAGATAGACAAAAGGAGATCCTGTGAAGGAAGACCAAATCCTATTTGGTAATGGTTAGGGGAAGAGGTTGGCAGTTGCTCCAAGGTTTCAGGTCCCTGGAGAATCCTCATCCCATTGATGCACATGACTGAACTTGGAACTAGTGAATTCAGTGCGGTGGTCACTGACTTTGAGGACACCTTCTAAAGTATTTGAAAGTGGTCAGAGGCCATTCGGGGCCCTTGAATCACATAACACGTGAATGATTCTCTTTTACAGGAACTGTCGACAAGCACTCAGTGGAAGTTACCAACTGCTTTTCGGTGCCTCACAATGAGTCTGAAGATGAGGTGAGTGGGAATCTGGGCTGTCCCTCTGCAGGCTCTGGTTGTTCATTTGCTAGACAGCTCTACCATACAATATGTTGTGCTCATAACTAGAGCTTCTACTGCCCAGGGAGCTTTTGTTATACTTCTCCTAGGCCTGCTTGAGATTAGTGTCTTTTTATTTTCTCTATAGGCTTCTGACTTCTTAGCTTCCTTTCCTGCATTCCTTCTCAGGTGGCTGTTGACATGGAATTTGCGAAGAACATGTATGAATTGCACAAGAAAGTATCTCCAAATGAGCTCATCCTAGGCTGGTAAGTTGTAGGAGGAGATGGAATGTCTCCCAGTGATTGCTGTGGTCTCTTGCCACCACATTGATATTGTGCTCCCTCTCTTAGAGACAGTATTTAAGTATATTACCTTACCCTAAAACCAACCAGTTGCCATCAGGATGATTCCAACCCATGGTGACTCTATTGTGTCAGAGTAGAGCACCGACAGAGTAGTCCATAGGGTTTTTAATGGCTGTGAGCTGTCTGTTGATTGCAAGGCCTTTCTTCCAAGGCACATCTGTGTGGACTTCAACCTCCAGCCTTTCCTCTGGCGGCCAAGTTTGTTAACCATATGCGCAACCTAGGAACTCCATATTATCTGAAGAAAGTAAGAATTCAGCATATTTTGCTGGCCGTTCTAACCCTTGTGAGTCCAAAAACATTAATTTTGAATTGTAAGCTCTTACTGAGCAAGTTTTTTGCCTTACTGATGACTTAGAAGTTTTTAAGAGGTCTTAGAGATGGGGCAATATACTTCCATAGTGATACTGCCTCAGAAACCCAAGGAGGGGTTGCTATGAGTCTGGTCTGACTCAACGGCAAACAACAACAACAACAACAGTCAGCCTTTTACTTGATATGATACAGTTTTCAGTGAGGAGAGAATAGGGGCATTTATAACACTTGTTTTTGGCATTTTGGGTATCACTGTATCACTCTTATAGGGGTGTCAGGTGTCTAGAGACACCCCTGCCACCGCTACCAGTTTGGTGTTTGTCATGTGTAGGCATGAGTCTGTTAGTTACCTCCATGACTATGCTCTATTTTCAGGTATGCTACAGGCCATGACATCACCGAGCACTCTGTGCTGATCCATGAGTACTACAGCCGAGAGGCACCCAACCCCATTCACCTCACTGTGGACACAAGCCTCCAGAGTGGCCGCATGAGCATCAAGGCCTATGTCAGGTGACCACAGTCTTGGGCTACAGGGGCATAACAGACTATCTAGTTCAGCCTGGATAACTCTCCTACTGCCAATCCCCCTCCCCCCAGGCCTCCTAAAGAAGCCATTCCTTCTCTCTCAGCAATTATCATTAGGAAAGTTTTACTCTGAAACAAAACCTGTCCCTGTAATTGCCACTCACTGACTCTTAGTTCTACCTCAAGTTTCTACTTGTCACTCTTGACCAATTTCAAATGACAGCCATTTAGATATTTGAGGAAGCTGTATGTTTGTTTGTTTGGGTTTTTATGCATTTTATTGAAATGTAATTTTTGTACAGTGAAATACACAACACAAAAGTGACATGGGTCAGTGCATTTTTTGTTTTGTTTTGTTTTTCCCCGGTATTCCCTCCCCTGCCCTCCCACCCCTGGCAACCAACAAAGAAAGTTTCCTTAAGTCCCTTGCCAGATATGTAATTATCAGCAAATATGAATTTGTTGCTGTAACTTTTGTTAGGTGCTTTTTCATGGTGTCGATTTCTTTGTTCCATATCATTTTCTTTGCTGAGCTTGTTTTGTTTATGAATCGTGTTATCACTTCCTTCATTGCTATTGTTTTAGTATTTGCTGAATACTTAACACTGGTCCTTTCTTTTGATGTGAAGGTTTATCATTTTTCTTTGAGGTTACCCTGTGATTTATAGTTTTCTTCCCAAGTTTAGAACAGTCCATTCTATCTTACAGTTGTCTTGACTTGCCTACCATCTAGAAGTTCTGTAACAACACAGTTTTTTCCCTCTTTTTGGTTTGTAGTTGTCCTCGTTTGTCAATTATTGAGTTATATTATCATGTGTGTTAATGGTCAGTTGTTGTTGGCTGTTGTTGCTTCTCTGTCCCGAGGGCTTCCTTTAGCATCTCTTGTACAGCTGGTGTGGTTTTAACAAATTCCCTTAATTTCTGCTTATCTGGAAACATCCTAATTTCACCATCATATTTGAGGGACAGTTATGCTGGGTACATAATTCTTGGTTGGAAATTTTTCTCTTTCAGGGTTTTATATATACCATCCCATTGTCTTCTCGCCTGCATGGTTTCTGCCGAGAAATCCAAGCTTAGTCTTATTGGTTCCCGCTTGTAGGTAACTTTTTGTTTTTCCTGTGCTGCTTTCAGGATTCTTTCTTTGTCTTTGGTTTTGGTGAGTTTGATGATTATATGTCTGGGTGATTTTCTTTTGGGGGCTGCCCTGTTTGGGGTTCATTGGACTTCCTGAATGGATATATTCTCATCTTTCATCGTATCAGGGAAGTTCTCTTCCAACACATCTTGGACAGTTTTCTCAGTGGTTTTATTTTTCTGTTCCTTTTCTGGAATTCAATGACATGTAGGTTATTCCTTTTGATGGTATCCCACATGAACCTTAGGCTTTCTTCATTTTGTTTTGCTCTTTATTCTGATTGATCCCTTTCTGAAGAAGTATTCAGGTATTTGTCTTCAATCTCATTACTTCTGTCTTCCATCGCATCAATTCTGCTCTTTTGCCCTTTCAATGTGTTATCTATTTCTGACAATTTAGTATTAATCTTCTGGATTTCTATCTGTATATTTAGAATCATTTCTATAGTTTTTCATTTATTTTGTCATTTTGTTCTTATATTTTCTTCCAAAATTCTTCTAGGGTTTTGTCTGTGTTTTCCTTGATCTGTCTCTCAATCCTTTGAAGATACCAAAATATAATTCTTTTGAATTTCTGACCAGGGAGGTCCAATCCTGCATCTTCCTCAGGGATGTGTTTTGGGTCTGTATCCTGGTCCCTTGTTTCTCCTGCTTTTATCTTGCTTCTTTGTGTGGACTGTGATGCTCTGTTGTCTCTGAGGCATTGTGATGTTTTTGTGTTTATATTTAATTGGTGATTGTATGTTGGCATGACTTGCCCACGATTTTCTCTTTCTTTGTTTTGTTTGTGTATTATTTACACAAGCAGGGTACTATGCTGTGCTCCTCTATTCACTAGTTGACAGCACTTACACACTCACCACCTGTCTCCTTTCCTGTTGTCAGTCTCTCACATGTCCCTGCCAACCTTGACAAACAGAGCCTATTCTTAGGTCCCTGAAATCCAAATGAGAATGCTGTCACTTTAAAATCCAAAATGGTTTCCACTTGTAAAGGTTCAAAATGGCTGTGCCATTGGTCACTTTAAATATCCACAATGGCCACTACTTGTAAGCATTCAAAATGGCTATGCCGTTGGTCACTTTAAATACCCAATATGGCCGCCGTGTGTAAACAATCAAAATGTCTGCACACTCAGGACAGCAGAAAGTCAACAGCTCAGGTTTTCTCCCTCCTTACTGTTGCCCTTCCTAGTCATAGGCCACCAGCACAGTCATCTCTGTAGCCCTTGGTGACCGGGACTGATCTTTAGGTCAATTCTCAGGTCCCAGCACCTCTTGGAAATATTCAGGCTATTGGTCCCATCAGAGTAGCTTACAGTCCGCAGCTCTGACTGTCTGTACTCACTGTTTTCGTTCAGGTTTTTTTCCACTGGTTGATGCCTAATCCACTTCTGTATAGTTCCTGTCAAAGCTCAGGGCTCCAGGATTATCTTTTGTATCTCTGTCAATTAGTTTTTCTTTTCTTTGTTGAAGAGGGTCTGTGTCACTTGTCTGCCTGTTCCTCCATCTTCTATATGTTTCTTTAATGTCGTCTTTTCTAGACACCAGATGTTCACAGTCATTCCTTACTTGTATTCTTTTCGTGATTTTCCACCACGTTCATTGGTTTCCTGAGCTACCCCTAATCCCTTGAACTGAGCATTAGTATAGATTAAAGGAAGACTTCCTTATTTTGAGGGTATCTGTTGACCCAGAGTTAAGTGGCAATAGCATTTGACACATTGAGCTTGCTGGTTGTTAAAATTCCCCTTGAAGGGGGGTGTTGAGAAAAGCCCTAGTGGCATACTGAAGAAGGTGCTGCTGCGGGAGTTGGAAGGATTGTGTCTTCCCATTAGAATGAAGGCATTTGTTAGTGCATTAACCCTGTTTAATTTTGTACTGTTTTCTGTTTCTGATACTAATGTAGCACATTCATTATTACGCATAAGACAAAGATAGTAGATGCCAAGTCCTTGCGGGCTATAGCACAAGGCTCTGGTTGTTACCTGATTCCTTATTCTTCCCAGATATTTCAGACTTCTCAAGAGTCACTTGAAAGTGTGTGGTTGACTTAGTAAAGACAATCATCTATAGTGAGATTATTTCTAGCCCCCAATGCAGTAGTGTTGGTGGGTAGGAGTTTTGTCTGTTCATTATGTGAACCAAGGTGTTGATGAAGGCCTTAGTCTCAGAAGAGACCTGTCCCTGTCTCTTCTTTCCATGTGGGTGGTATATAGGCAGCAAGCTCCATAAGGAAACCCAGCCTTCCATCCTGCTCATCACCAAGGTTGTCCAGAGTATGGAGTAATCCTCATAAAGGTACCAGGCCAGGTCCAAAAGCTGAGTTCCCTTCACAGGCCAAAGGTTTTGTGTGTGAAATGAACTAAGGAGAGAAAGTGACTTTTGTACCCGTGAGGTCTCTAGGGTTCACGTGATTGATCTCAGCCTTCTAACCTCAGAACCTTGGAGGCCATACTCTTGTTTCTCATTGCTATGACTGCTTTTCCAGCCTAGAAACCCTCTCCAAGGCCATCTGTTTACTTTGACCTTCTCTCTCCCCAGCACTTTAATGGGTGTCCCTGGGAGGACCATGGGTGTGATGTTCACACCTCTGACAGTGAGATACGCATATTATGACACCGAACGCATTGGAGGTGAGTAGCCTTCCCAGACCCTCCTCAGAGGTCTTTGGCATTTTGCAGGGAGGGAGTGGCAGCTCCGTGAAAGGATGGAGGGCCTTGGGTAGTTTAAAGAAGGTGAGGAATGTAGTGTTTACTGACCTTGTGAGATTGTGAAGGTAGAAAGGCCATCCCTATATAAATCATCTATTCTCACTTTTAGTTTTCTCTGTTTTCTGGCCCTCTAATCCTATCTCAATTCTGCTCTTACCCCCAGACTTTTATTAATGCTTACCTCCATCACCCCCTTGTCCTGTCCCTTGTTCCCACTTTGCTTCACTGATGAGACTTGTTTTACCTTCCCACAAGTTAATCAACCATATTGGTTATCAGTCACTGAGTTTGCTTGGTTCATAGTCATATTACTCTCATTTTCTCATTGGTAATTTTGTGGTTTTCACTTCCTTCCTGGGAAATTGCTGGAATAATTGTTTTCCCTCTCCCTCTTTTGGATGACACTGTAATGAATACAAGTTAATTTTTCAGACACTGATCTCTTAGCAGATGGAGATTTTGTAGTAGATACATATAATTGATGTATTCAGCTTTACTACCTCTTTTTTCTGCCAGTGATGTGGCCTATACTAAGAAAGGATCAATTTTATCCAGTATTGTGGCAGGCTCATAACTGTGAAGATTGTAATAAGATGATATTCTCAAAAGCACAGCACACAGTGTTTGGTCATTGTGTTCACTGGCATCTTCTTCAGGTATTAACTATTTCCCATGCACTGTGCTAGTGCAGTCCTTCTCAGTCTGTTCTGATGCACTATTCTGTCTGTTGAGAAGTTCATCACAGGATTTTGCCATTAAATTGAAAGTTTCTAACTACTCATTCTTACAGGTCCCATCCCTATAATGTCACAGTGACGCTTACGTTAAGTTCTTAGGTAGGAGTGAGGGTGTTTTTTTCCCTTCCTTTCAGATGTCAGTTTAAATCCCTCTTACTCATATTAGGATGTCCCCTAAGAAGTGTCTTCTTCCCAGTCCTTGTGAGACCTTCAAAGTGTTATGTCAGCTGTGATCAGGGGTTACATAAAAATGTCTCACATTGGACCTTCATAACATAGTAGGAATAGAAGAGGTTCAGCAACAATCCAGATTCATAGTGAGTGTATCCCTGCTTTGAATGTGGCTGCTGAGCTCCTGGGGCAAGATGAAGGCAAGCAAACTTCCCCTGTGTTTAAGTAGGATAGGGTCCAATCCACTGCTGTCAAGTCGATTCCAACTCATAGCAACCCCCATTGGGTTTCCAGGGTGGTGAATTTTTACAAAGTAGATTGCCTGGTCTTCCTTCTGTGGAGTGGCTGATGGGTTTGAACCACAGTAGGTTAGCAGTCAAATGCCGTAGGCACTGTACCACCAGAGTCAACACTGGCTGTATATCAGAGGATCCTCTGGGACTTTTGTGTGTGTGTGATTTGGGTGAAAGTTTACAGAGCAAATTAATTTTCCATACAGCAATTCATACACATTTTGTTTCAATACATTGACTGTAATTCCCCACAATGTAACAACTTTCTTCCTACTTCCTCCCTGTAGTTACCTCTTTCCTATGCGTTCCTGCCCCCTGAGCTATCTCCCTGTGCAAATACTGCCCTTCTGTTTGCCCATGATTGATCACTCTAAGGAGGGTATCTGTCTGATGTAAATGTTCACCCTGTATGCCTCCTTATTGTTTGGCTGGAAGCCACGGGAGGGAGTTCAAATCCAAACCTGAAGGCTAACTAGGGGCCATAGTCTCAATGTCTCACCAGGCTCTATCAGACCTGTAAACCTGGTCGTTTTTTAGTTTTGCTCCACATTGTTCTCCCATTCTATGCAGGATTCTGTGGAACTTTTGTTTAATATAGGTACCAGAGTTCCACTGTAAGTATTCTGATTTTATAGATCAAGTGGGATCCAAAGAGTCTATTGCATTTTTTTTTTTAACGCTATGAATAATTCTGGATTAGGATTCAGGAATAGGAGTTACTGTAAAGTTTATGTTGATTAGAAGTCATTGTCATTCTCCTATGTAAATGGAATTCAAGAAAATTACTTGAAAAATTGTTAGAGGTGGGAAATTTTCATCACCAGAAGCTATGTGAGGGCACTCCGGAGGCGCTGTGGTTAAGGCATTCGGCTGCTAGCCAAAAAGTCAGCAGTTTAAACCCACCAGCAACCCTGCGGGAGAAAGATGTGGCAGTCTGCTTCCGTAAAGATAATAAAGCCTTGTAAACCCTCTGGGACAGTTCTACTCTATCCTACAGGATCACCGTGAGTCGGAATCAACTCAGTGACAGTGGGTTGGGTTTAGTTTTTTGAGGCTATGTGGCCTTTCGTTAAAAAAAACTAAACTCCTTGTCATCAAATTGATTCTGACTCATAGTGATAGCGATAGCAACCCCCTCCTTAGGTAGTGTAGTGCCTAAGGCACTTGACTGCTAACCAGAAGGCTGGTGGTTCAAACTCACCAGCCACTCCTTGGAAAGAAGGTTGGGCAATCTAGTTCCGTAGTGATACCACCTCAGAACCCAAGGAAGTGTCATTATGAGTTGGGTCCCACTCGACAGCAAATAACAACAACAGCAACATCTGTGTGGAAGTAGATTGCCCACTCGTCCTTCCGAGGAGTGGCTGGTGGGTTTGAACCACCAGCCTTCTGCTTAGCGGTCAAATGCCTTAGGTACTTCACCACCAGAGCTCCCAAAATTGATGATTAACAGAGCACTAGGTGAGGGAGCTGGCTGTACCAGGAGGGAGGAAAGCTAATAGGGCAGAACAATGCAGTTGAAGAAGCTGAATTGAGTCCAGAGGGGGAGGGTGGCAAGAGTCAGAAGGGCTGGGTAGAGACCATGTCCTTCATGATGGGATTATTGGATTGCCTGTCTCTTTGCACAACCCCCACAGTTGACCTGATTATGAAGACCTGTTTTAGTCCCAATCGGGTGATCGGGCTTTCAAGTGACTTGCAACAAGTTGGAGGGGCATCAGCCCGCATCCAGGATGCCCTGAGCACAGTGTTACAGTATGCAGAGGATGTGCTGGTAAGAAGGGCGAAGGGAAAACAAAGGGTATCTCCACTCTAGGGTCACTGAAGGACGTGCTACTGAAGTGACAGTCCTCTCAGTGAAAAGAAGTAACTGTGCCTCTTTGAATGTTTGTTTTGGTGCTCAGTCTGGAAAGGTGTCAGCAGACAACACTGTGGGCCGCTTCTTGATGAGTCTGGTTAACCAAGTACCAAAAATTGTTCCTGATGACTTTGAGACCATGCTTAATAGCAACATCAATGTGAGTGCTCTCCCTGGGCCTCTAGGAACCTGGGTCCTTCCCCCCACCTTAGCACTTTCATACCAGCATGAAGGAGGACAGAGAGTTGAGTGGGATGGCTGGAGTAGGGTAAAGGAAGCAGGCTTTGCCTTTGGTACCCTTGCAGTCCAGGTTGGGAGGAAGGGCGAGATGGTGCACGTGTTCAGGAGATTGCCTTCCTTCCTTCCTTGATTTCCTTGTCTCAGGTACCGTTGATACACTGTTGATACTACTGTGACTTGTTAGATAGATTCATGACTGAAAGAAATGCTAAAATTCACTTAAAGGTGAACGACAATATAATTTCTTACTTTGTCCATCTGAGTTCACAGACCCCTTATATTCTATCTTTAGATCTGAGCTTAAGAGCCCCTAGTCTGTAAAGGGAAATACTATAGATGAGAAAGTGTTCTCTAGCATTTTCTTCCTTCCCATCTTCCATCTTTGACTCTGCTCTGTCTCACCCAGCTATCATTCATCCAGGATGGTCCTCAATCTCAGTGTCCACCATGGAACTGGCAGGAGGACTGAGTTTTCTGATCATTTGTACCCAACCATTCATTCATGGATTCTTTCTCTTCCAGGACCTGCTGATGGTGACCTACCTGGCCAATCTTACACAGTCACAGATTGCCCTCAATGAGAAACTTGTAAATCTATGAAGGAAGCCACTCCTGCCAATCTGGCCCCCAATCCTGGGACTCAGAATGGTATGAAGGAGAACTGGTTTCTTTGTGGTCTTGAGTCACACTGAATCAGGCAACTGATTGTGACTCTAAATAAATAGAGCCTACGTTTTGTAAACCACCTCCATCTTATGTGAGTTTATTAGTGAGTGGAAAGGAGAGAACTGTTGTAGAATTCAGGCAATAACAAGGTAGGGTAATGAGTACTCTGGGTAAAAGCTTGGTATGTGTTTGGCATGACTAGTCAACCAACAAGATCATCACCCACAGCCCAGCCACCTTAGCTTCACCTGACCCCAGACCTCACAGCCTTCTTATTCTTAGCCCATTGGTTTTACAATGACACTTTTTCTCCTCCCTCTTTTGCCTACAATGAGATCAAGCTGGACCTCTAAAAAAATTTTGTTACTTCTCCTTAGCATCTCACATGGATGCAAAGTGTTACCTTAAAAAGTACCTAGAGAATGTGCTAGTGAATGAGAGGAGAGAGAAGAAGGGTACAGAGACATATCCATCCTGGGATGCTTGAGTACGTGCTGGAAAAGGACAGCCCTCTCCAGGTGGGAATTAACTGTACTTGGCCAATGTTTTATTTTGGTTTTCAATCTGTAAAGTCCACTGACAATACTGTTGAGCATTTCATGAAGGTCATGTGGTTTCCACAGGGAATGAAAATGGGAATCCATGGAGAAAAAATAGAGAAATGGGTGCTTAATCTGAACTAAAAGCTTATGGTCAGTGACCATGCCTTAAAGTGCTTAAGTAGTAGCTGTTTGCTTCTGTGGTTTAGGGAGGCAGAACTAGATCTGTGAGTAAAATTTAAAGAGCTCTTCCTGTTATATAGAGTTGATTCTGACTCACAGTGACTCTAGGATAGGGTAGAACTGCCTTAGAGGTTTCCTAGATGAAATCTTTATGGAAAAAGATCACCAAGTGTTTTTCTTCCATGGAGAGGCTGGTGGATTGGAACTGCTAACCTTTCAGTTAGCAGCTGAGTGCTTAACTGTTGTGCCACGAGGGCTTCCTAAGATTTCCCTAAAACCTCAGAAAGTCCTCAGGTGCTTTTCAACTTAAGGGCAGCTTCAAGTAGTGTTGAGGTCACATGATGGCTGTGTCTTAAGCAAAGACTAGATGCCATTGCCTAGGGACCTTTGTGACCTCAAACATCCCTTTCACTTAAGACCCTGGAATTCTACCTGGGCATTGTGTCTTATATTAAGAAGGAAGATCTTTAGGGACAGGAGTATATTAAATATACTGCTAGAGTGAAAAGGTAGAATGAAAGTAACTGTAGGAAGCCAAGAGGCCTGGTTCTTAATTCTTCTTTAAAACACCAATTCTGGGAGTCTTAGATGTGGGTAATAATACAGAACTCATTAGGATGTTGTGAGGATTCAATGAATGAATAAATGTTAGCCAATGTAGAGAATAATGCCATGTAATACACAAAGTAAGTGGTAGGTAGTATTCCTAATGCTAAATACAATTTGAAAGTAATAAGCATTATGAACCCCAGCCTACACAGCGGTGTGACCTGTTTTCTTAACTCACAGACATGGCAGTTAAACTGGCTTGATTTGCTATTCCCTGGATGTGCCTGTACTTTTCTATATCAATGCCTTTGTTTTAACATTCATCCCACATGAAGTGTTTTATCCTTCACACCATCTTGTTGAGGTGTCACATTTAGTAGAAATCCTACCCATTTAAGGTCTTAACTCAGCACCTCTCTTAGGCCTTAGAACATTCCAACAGGAAATACTCATGAACGCACAGTGCATCTTGTGTTTTGCAACTATTTCTAGTCAGTTCTGTTTATCCTTTTTGGGATATATTGTGATTTTCTTAATGAAATTGTGTGTTTTATCAGTTCTGGAAATTTTGCCAGGACTCAATCATCAAATACTACCTTGCCTCCCCTCATTGTCTCCTGTGAGTCCTGTCAGTCATGATAGTCTCTCTTTCCTATTTTATGTCTCTTCTGCATTTTAAATAAATTCTTCAAATATAACTTACAGTTTATTCACTTGAACTGCATGTAATCTGCTGTATAATAATCCATCCACTTTATGTTTATTTCATCAGTTTTCATTTCTAAAAATTACATTTATGTATTTTATATCTATCCATTCCTGGTACATCATATGTTAATCATCTTATTAATAACCTGTATTTCTTAGTATTTTATAACTTTCCTGTGTCTTAATATTCCAATATCTTCCATTTTGAAAGCCTAATCATTTTTTTTTTCATATTTCTTCTGACTCAAAGTAGTTCATCTTACATGTTTGATAATCTCTGTTTGTAAGAACATAATATTAAACTGAGTCCTGCAAAGCCTAAAATGATGCTTTTAGAAAAGATGTGCTCTGTTTTGCTGATAGCTTAGGTAACCAGTCTAAATAGTCATCACAACAAATGTAAAAGATTAAACAAACCAGGAAAAAAGATTGGCAGAGTAAATCTTTACAGCAGACCATAGCTGTACAGGATATACAGGAGACAGTCTAAAACACAAGGACACAGAAAGATGAAGGATATGGGAAGATAATATGAAATAGGCATGTACTTATCTAAAGAAAGTAGGTTTAGCTATATTAATAGCAGACAAATTAGACTTTAACATAAAAGTATTAAGTTACAGAGCTGAACTGTCCAGTGCAATAGCCATTAGCCTGTAATAAAGAGTCTGGCGATGTTTTTTGATGTTTACTGACAACCTTTAAGCCTTACTTCTCCCACCTTCCCCTTCTGTCCCAAATCTGAGCAAACTGATAAGAAAGCCCAGGTGCACCTTCCTTTGGTGGGAGGTTCAAACTACATAAGCCCCATCCAACGTATAGGAATTCTCACCTTGACACCACCCTTTGCCATAATAAAAACCTTGTGTCTAACAAAAACATTGTTCCACGCCCTACTTTGGTGAGTAGTGACTGGGATTTTAAAAACTTGCAAGCGGCCATCCAGATGCAAGGATGGATCTCCTCGTTCAGAGCAAAGAAGAATGAAGAAAACCAACAATGCATGGAAACAATTAGTCCAAGCATCTGGTACACCATGCGAACTTCAGCCTATACAACTATGAGACCAGAAGAACTAGGTGGTGCTAGGCTACCACTGTCAACCACTCAAGAGGGGGATCTATGTAGGAGATCCTAGATAGAGTGGGAGAACAATGTGGAGCAAAAATCATTTGGGGGGCAAAAAAAAGGGGACCAGGTTTGCTGATCTGATAGAGCCTGGTGGAAGCCCTGAGACTATGGCCCCTAGCTGCCCTTCAGGTCTGGAATTGAACTCACTCTTGTGACTTCCAGCCAGACAAAAGCAATGAGCTGAACATTTACATTAGATAAATACATTCTATGGAGAAATCAATCATGGGAGAATAGAAGGACTGTACGCACAGGGAGACAGCTTGGGTAGGGGGCAGGAGTGCATAGAGGGAAATACACAGGGAAGAGGTGGCTATGGTGAGGAAGTGGGAGGAGAGCTGTTGCATTGTAGGAGATTGCAGTAGATGTCAGTATATGTGAACTGTGGAAGATGAATTTGCAAACTTTCATCCAAATCACAAAATTTAATATATATACATAAAGTATCTTTAAAAAAAAAAAAAAACTTTAAATGAAAAAAAGCAAACACAAAACAGTACCTTACAACATGCAAGAAAATGATAACTCCAGGATATTGACTAAATCTTGAGGGGGAGTTCTATTGGCAAGCGATAAAAAGTGGTTTCTACTATTTCTTTTGAAAGTAGAAAAGTAATGGCCTTTTAAAAAGTAGAAAAGATAAGCAACTAGGACATAATAGTAAGTCTACAAAACTCAGTAACTGATACCTCGGGGGAAAAAAAAAAAACCAAACTCAACTGCCGTGGAGTCAGATCCAACTCAGCGAGATCCCTCCTTGGGTTTCTGAGGCGGGATCACTACGGAAGTAGATTGCCCAACCTTCCGAAGAGTGACTGGTGGGTTTGAACCACCAGCCTTCAGATTAGCAGTCAAATGCCTTAGGCACTACTCCACCAGAGGTCCTAATAGATACATGTTGTTGTTATTTGCCGTTCAGTCGACCCCGACTCAGCGACCCCTCCTTGGGTTTCCGAGGCGGGATCACTACGGAAGTAGATTGCCCAACCTTCTGAAGAGTGACTGGTGGGTTTGAACCACCAGCCTTCATATTAGCAGTCAAGTGCCTTAGGCACTATGCTACCAGAGCTCCTAATAGATACATAGACTTGTTATATTTTCCATAAGCTTATATTTATTTCATTTTAAAAAATTGAGAAGCTTGACCTTCATTTTAGGAAAATGTGAGTATTAATTTATAATATTGCCAGAAAGTTGGGCTACCACATGGGTTTTCATTTTATGTGAAATGGCTCAGAAATGAACTAGGGCTCATCACTTCTCTGTCTCCAGGGAGTATGCCATCAAAGGGCTGGCCCCTATGTCCTATGCCCTTTCTGCTTCCCATCTCTTTACCTTCATCCCCATCCAATCCCAGCTCAAACCTCCTGAGAAGCATTTTGGGTCCAAGGTGCAAAACCCAATCCCTGTTGCCTTCCCTGAGAGGCTGCTCAGAACCTGGTAGAGGGAATAGAAGTTTTGGCCCTCTACTAAGAAGCTTGGGACAGAGGACAGCAAAAAGAAGTGAACCCTTTACCATCTGGTCTCTCAGGACCCTTTGTTCAAATCAATGGAAGGAAAATACAAGGCCTCTTCTCTAGGGTTGAGATTATAAACTGCACAGGAGCCCCAAGGAGTCAAGATTTTCATTGAGGAGATGAACTAAACCCATGGAATGGATGTTGAGCATCTTCTTATGTGATTGTTGGCCATTTGGATTTCTTTTGTGAAATGTCTATTCAAATCAACTAAGATATGAATAAATACTTCACACTTTTTTATTCTGGAAGGGTTTCTGAGAGCTGGCACCTATTTCACCAATTAACAGTTTGGTAACTATTTGCA